TCCGCGCACCGAGGCGAGCCCCGAGAAGTTCGCCCTCTGCTATGCGCCACACGTCGATATGACCACCGTCATCGAGGTCGAGGTGAATAATCAATTCTACGCTTGACAGAGGGTTATTCGTTTCATAGTTTTACCCGAGATCCATGCAAGTGCGCCGAAAATTCATTGGAACATTCTTTTTGTACACAAATTTTCGACTATCAGATTAACCATTTAGACTTGACCAACGAAATGTCAGAACATTGCTTACTAATCGCTGCCGTGTAATCGTCAGTCATTTATAAATTTGTCCGAGTGAGACGCTCAGACGATAAATCGTATGAAATTGGATTGGAGTGTGCATGGAATTTGCCATCCGATACTCGGCTGTACATAATGGCCGGAGTAATTTGTATTTCTCAAAAGTCATTAATGGCTTTCGACATCAAATTCGGTTGGTTCGCCATGCCACTTAGCTTATCGCCGTTGCCGATGATTATCTTTTAGCACCGTTAAATAGTCGACTTACCTTCATGAAGTATTATGATGTTGCCATCAACACGATGAATTTCTGACTTTCTCTCCGCAATCAAATGAGAAAACTTGAATTTTTGGATGAAGTAAATGCTGAATGAGTAAACAAAAGAAAATTACAAGTAGAGTATACTGCAAAGTTGGTATATCGTATTAGGTGTGCTGAGTGCTCACAAAGAACGCCAGCGACGCGTTCAGGGTGAAACAAGCCGGTTGAACGTATGAAACTAGCGCGTGAAAATAGGAAAACGCCGAGATTCGCTCGGTGGCCGAGAGCACATCCTGTCCTTTCATACAGTGCAGGCGCTACACACACACACACACACACACATACACATTGAAGAAGAGCGCGGAATGCCGAGGAAGAGAAGAGAGCGAACGAAATAACGCGTTGAATATTGCACTCGCGCGCGAAGCGGATAATCGGCCGCCGCCGGATGCACCCCTTTGATTATGCAAGTCCGGCCATGAAGATATTAAAGATCCTATCGCGAGAGAGCAGAAAGAACGAAATGACAGCCGCCGTGGAGCATCTTTGCGTTTCTGGGTTTTCGGCGCTCCGTATAGTCGGTGCGTTCGGACAAATACAAATTATACGTACACTTTTTTATCTTGTTTACACTGTCATTTGTATACGTCAATTCTAAATTTATCGCGTCTAGCAGTCATTGCACATCGAGAAGAGATACATTTGTTATCTTGATTGATCAAGTTGTTACTTCCATAACGAACATTGATTACGCTGTAAGAGTGACAAATTGATGACTGAAATTTCAAAAACTGAGACTCGTGCAATTATCTGACTTCTGTATGCTAATTTTATTGCCACTATCCAATGTATTTATTTACTGCAAAATCGATTTTACGAGCAGTTATATGTGTTATAACAAACTTGTACGTGGCCAGCTGCCGTACAGCAAAGTAGAAACAATTCGTATCCAAACATTTATCAATATTGGTTGAAAGAAATAGTCAAAGTATACTGAAAAGTAACTGTTTCGATGTATCGATTGACCTTTACTCGACTAGCACATTTTTTCGAGCGGTCACCTCGATGACTAATAACGTGCCTCCCATATCCCTCGCCCCGCCGCAAAAGTACGCACCTGACAAGCGAACATTTCGAGCGATGAGAGAACGTGAAATATCATCTATATAAGCACGCGTTGGTCAAAAGGCTACTTGAGATTTTCAATATCTCGCTTTCATTATACTCCTCTCTTGACCCCAAAAACCAAAATGGATGAAAGCGCTTAAAGACGAACTAACGTGCGAAAAATAGGAGCGAAAATAAATTTTAGAATCAACGGTCTACATCCATATGCTTAAGGATGACGCACGACGATTTGAAGCGTTACGGCCCGAAGGTGAGAGTATCATCGAGAGATTTATGAATGGGCCGATCGCGCGCCGGTGCTCCCGCGGTGCTTTATTATCTCTAATAACGACTTATCGGATTATCGCGGCATAGATATCATCTTCGCGCGCTCGCCTTTTTTTTCTGCTCAACGCTACCTTTCTCCCGCGCTGTCTCACCGAGCCACTGTATTTTCTTTCATTTTTTGCGCGTGCGTGCGCAACCGCGTTGCGTAATTTTTTCTTTTCTTTTCACAAAAATGATCTCTCCCGGACCTCCACTCAGATTTATCAGATAAATTAGATTTGAACTAATGCGTACGCTGAAATATTATGATGAATTGTGGCTGTAGGTTTGGTCTACTGTCTAATCGTTTTGAAATGGTTTCAGAGCAAACATTTCAAGTGGTCACATTCCGCTCGTACAATCATTGATCAAGAGTCGCGGTAGCGAGTCGCATGCGAGTAGACACGAAGTAGCCACGGAGTAGCGGCAGCGCGCAACACTATACAATAAGATGGCAATTTCAGCCTCTGGTGAAAATCATGAATTTATTTTCTCGCTAGCGCGTAATCGATATCGTCGCTTCTACTGGTAAAATTGAGAATCTCAATTGCCATGTGTTACCTGAAAAAAAATTTTCAGATTAATCGATGCACCTTTGAGAAAGTTATTTAGGGTACCAGATTTTACACACATTTGCTTGGGCTCTTTCGTAAGACTGAAAAATTCGTTTCCTTCTCACGCGTACGTAGATGTATAATATGTATCCTACGTTGACGGCAACATCTTTCATCTGAAAGATTATCTTTCTAGATGTAGATCTAGTTTATTGTACTGCACGCTACACTATTACATCTACTGCTATTTATATAAGTCGGGCAGGTATTCGGATACTTACCCTACAAATGCGTAGAGTCGAAACTCTACACACACGCACACACCACGCCCGTACCTGTTAGCTTCACTCATTACCGCTGCCCTCAATTTCAGTTGTATTTTCAATTTGAAATTACTAATTAATACGAATAAATTTGATTGTAATATGTAATATGATAAATAAATATAAAAACTTGAAAAAATAATATTGTTTCCAGTTTAGCCAAATATATGCATTGGTGAGACTTTGCCCCTTGCTTATGCACATGAATGTTTATGAACTTAGAACAATGAGTTAAAGCTCTTCTCCTCACAATACACCATATTAAACTGGTAAAACCTCACACGTCTACGGTGCAATACCTAGAGATTAGAGATACTTTTAAAATCTTTATTACTCTAGTTACAAGTTAGTAGATAGAAACTGAAATTTTAATCACTGATACAAAGTGCTAACTTTTTATGGAACTCGTTGATATAAACAGTTCAAAATTGGCGCTTCGTAGCAGCGATTAAAATTGCAGTTTGTATGCACTGACATGCAAATAGAAAAATAATGATTTTGAAACTATCTCTGGGTTTCACGGCCTACTTGCATGATTACTGTTAACAATAAATTGAAAGGATTACATTTATTCACATGACGATTCGCACAATATTTTGATTTTCAGTGACAGGCGCGCATTGGTGGAATACAGAAATCGGGTTTTTATTCGCAAGTAACCTTTTAAATCTGTCTTTTCCTTTTTCAAGTAAACTTTATCACCCTAATTAAAATAACAAACGAAAATCAAGATACGTGCGGTCGACCTCGACGACAGTATCAGCGACACATCTCTATCAAGTCCTTTCTTTCCTTACGCAGAGTGCGCAGGCCGTGCGCAGAGCACGCAAACCCTGCAGAGGAAGAACTTTGCAAGCCAGGTATCAAGAGCAAGAGAAAGAGAGACACACCTACGTTTTCTGCCTGTGGGCTATTTGTGTTGCGACAGGTTGCTACTCCCCGGATTTGCATAGTTTATGGCCTCTCTCTCTCTCTCTCTCTCTCTCTCTCTCTCTCTCTCTCTCTCTCTCTCTCTCTCTCTTTCTCTGCATTATAGCATGTACGTGCCTGCATCTCTCCTCTGATTTTTTCCATAAATCGCGGACACTTTTTTTGTTCCTTGGTCTTTAGTTAAGAGCAGAGAAGCGAGCGGAATTCTTATGTCCTACGGTTAAGTTATTATTGCAAATGATACTGATAATTTTTAAGCACAGCCTTTTTTTTTCGAGAAACGGATTATTTTCAGCTACACTTTAGCAAAAACTTTAATTGAAGGTACGAATAAAATTAATCGAACGCGAAAGCACCGACATAAATCAACCAAATTTATTCCGCTACAATATCGTACGGCAATATGCGATACATCATCAATCGACGTTATTCACTTACTCACGCAAACTCCATGTAGATCGGGTACAATAAAATTCACTGTATATCGGCCAGAGTGCGATATATTTCACGAATAACTTGAGCGTTACGTTTCTCGGCAAGTAGCGCTTTCTGCTAATCTGCGGGGACTTGTGATTTTTCAACTCGCGAGCTGTGGAGCTTTTGTGCTCTCACCCCCCGCTCCCCCTCTCTTATTCTTGCACCCGCATGCGCCAAAAAATTTATACGATCAATGCAGGCAGAATCCCAACGGCGCGAGCGACGTGCAAATGCAAACGGGATCCAGCTCAAACGCGTTATTTATATGGAAATATCCACGCGCTGCTGTATGTGTACGTTTCTTTGGAAATTTGTGGTTGGAGCAGAAAAACCGTTTACTACGAGGTTTACGCGCATGGGAAGTGCTTCATTAAATTTACCCTACTGCAATTGTAATATCAGAGGGCTACCATTTTTCTGCTGTTTGCGAGCCAATTCTCATAACAGTGCGTTTATTAGCATCAAAATGTGCTCTTGTCGAATTTTTTAAACGACATATATTTTCAGATCGTTGCATACTAATTTACATATTTTCAACGGTATGAGCTTTATACTCGTTATTAATAATGGGAGTGTATGAGTTAAGCGACTCATCACTGCATTTATCGCGAATTTATTATACACTTTACAAGAAAAGTAAATTTGATTGCAGAATGATTTGGAAAAATGTGCTTTCGAATGAAATTATAGGTTTTCCAATCGTCATTCACTGCAATTAATTTGTACTGTACAAGCATTTTGCCAAGTAGAGGAATATAATTTTACAAAATTATGTTTCAGGATCGCTTGACGGGCCATGGTGGCATCTCGTCGCTGGGCGGCGGCAACAGTTCGCCGTACTCTGGTGCCCATCATCATGGGCACCGAGGCAACGGCAACGGTGGCGGTATGCCCCATCACGGGGGTGCCTCGCTGCCAACCGCCTCGGACTTTCAGCCACCCTATTTCCCACCGCCTTTCCCTTCACATCATCATGCGCCCGCAAGTCCACAACACCCGGGTCTCGGGCAACCCCAGCACCTCGACTACCTCGTCAGCGATCCGTACACTCAAACCCTCAATACCCTACATCAACATCACTACAATCATCTGAGCGCTGCCGTTAGCGCTGGACAGAGGAGTGGCGATCTCAGGAGAGATACCGATATCCATGTGGTGAGTATTGTCAATAACTATTTTTAATTTGAAACTACCACGAAATCCAAGCAGGTTTTATCGGGTCGAATTTTGCTGATAACTCACGTTCGATGCTTCGTCGTTTGAAACCTATAGAGGACGAATAAATTGTGCTATGCCGAGTGCCGAGGTTCCCCTCGTATTCTTCAAATAACACGCATTGTTGACAGTCAAATCGCTGACCGTATCCAACACAGAGTTGTTTCATTTGAATCGTTGCGTCATGCCATAAACTTACTTTCAAAGGAGGCTCAAAAATGACGAGTAAACATACTTACTGCGCTGAGCTTTGAATTCTATACTACTAAAATTTAACTCCCTCGTAAATGCGAGAGTAAATTATTGAATTAGTCGAGTGAATAATGGCAGGTATTTAATCAGCAACGAAAAATTTTATAATTCGCACATAAATTGCCATTCAACACGTGTACACGTGTGAGGCAACTGCAATCCAGCCATCTCGGCAAAAAATCTTTAATAACCATGCGTATAATAAACAACTTTCCCAAAAAAGGAGTACGAGCAATCGATAATTCACGGCAAACTCGTCATTAATAACGGCGCGCGAGTTGACAAAGACTGGAGGAGGTCACATGCGCAGTCGTTTAACGACTGAAATCGTTGTCGGTGAAAACGGTTAGGAGAGAAAACAAAATGACTTTCCCGCGTCGACGAGCGATAATGCAGTGCAATTAAACGACGCGAGATCAGAATTCTCGAATCGGCTGATTATTAGGCTCCGCGCGAGCGTCGGCCGAGCGCCGCGCATAAACATATCGCATATTGGCCAATTGGCCTCTCGAGTACCGTTAAAACGATGATCCTTACGCTGTGCCGGTCGCGAGGCGCGCGTGCTACTCCCTTCTTTGCTATTAGGCGACGTGCAGCTGCGCGTATGTATATATACAAGTCGCCTGGGCGCCTTGAAAAGCCGCTTTGACTAAATATGTGGATAGTCAACTGACTGACTACGTACACGCGCGTGGCCGCGTGTATTGCAATCGAATTCAGGACGATTTTGGACTTGCTGATTTTTTCCTCCGTTTGCGCAGTTTCATTGCTTAGCCTTTTTCTTTATTTCTTCATTTTAGATGGGTCATTGACTCGAACTCGAGTTTGCCGTTCGCTGGCTTTATTTCACCGTTGGAAGAAGCTTTTGTTTATCCGCTTATCAAATACGTAAACTGGAACGTAAGTCACTCAGAAAGAAATATTCAATAGTGTAATTTGAGTTACAACGTGTCGATCCTATGCAGTTATGGTACGAATAAAAAAAATAGAAAAAAACGAATCTCGAAATATGAGCTAGTATCAACTTTCGCTAACGATGCGGAATTTTAGATTGCCGTTTTCTCGTATTCATCGGGTCTATATATCGCAGCTCTGAATATCGATCAGTTCCGACATCTGTCAGTTCGATCATTAAGGACCCATACACGTCGGCATACATACGTTAAAGTATGTCCTCGTGAACGTGAATATGCCGAAAGTTCGTCATCGTCTGATATACGTTGTGGTCCCACGCTATGTGTCCCCCTTGGCATGCCAAACTTTACTTTGATTATCCAAGATACAGATTCCCATAGTTCTCGAGACTAGGATATTTGTAACTTATAAGGACATTCGAGAAGGAAGTTTGAAATCGTCGACGATTCGTTAACTACAACTGAAGATGTTGGTTTATCCATTATTTATAGATTTTAGCTGCTACAAATTTTCTCGAATAGTCATCAATTTGTTTTGTCAAAAGAATAATATCTCGTCAATATTTACGCTGAGATTACCAAATGTTTCGGTGTCTCAATGACGTTTTATCAAAGATATCCAATTCCAATTAAAGATTCATTCCAAGTGAAAAATAATTAAGTTACTCTCTCGAAATTTGAAAATTATGTTAAATCGCGTAAAATGAGCGAATTAGCATAAGAGAGTATATATTCGTAAAAACGGAATTTCGAATTTGCGTATCATATGAAATTTTGCGGATTTTAGTTTCTAAAAAACATCGACATCTCATTTGACAAGAAGTGAAACTTGAGAAAATTACATAAAACTTAATAACCTATATTTTAAGAAAATTGAATTGAGAATGTGGTCACGATTTGCATACAAATAAATTATTTTGGATAATCGTTCATCGAAATCAATGTATCCAAAAACTGTATAATATCAATTTTTTATGGATCACGAAAAAAAGGCAATTTAAGATAAAAATTGCAGTAATATTTTATTTTTTCTTAACGCTTTAGAAAGTGTGCGGTTTCTTTTAAATTCTCAAGTCCTGAATAAAAAATGGCAAAATAGTAGCGAAATAAATCAACAATGCAAATTGCGCTCGATTGTATTGTTGTTTAAGAATCGCGCGGTCGTCGGAGCCGATACATAAGTACATCATACATGGCGTTTACGGCACGTTTGAAGCCCGTGTTCACGCGCGAAACTCGCCGAGAAGAGTGCATGCACGCGTAAGCTTTGAATACCTGCCACGGCGTGCAAATAGCATGCAAAGAGAGGAGCGAGAGAGAAGACGGAGGTGGAGGAGGATTCACGTCCTCGCAGCTTCTTCTTCGTGTTCTTCCGGAACTCGGCATTCTTGGCTGCACGCAGTAATTTACTTATTAAGTTCCGGGCGGACCTTCGACATTCTCGAGGAAGGGGGTCGCGCGCGAGCGCACAAGCCGGGGACGCTTACTTTGAGTCGCATGCCGAGGATAACGACGTCTAGGACAGCGACGCCCCTCCCCCACCCTCTCTTCGCCCTATCGCGTCCGCGGCTTCGAGACGTTTGTCAGCTGCGTGCATAATTTTTTCAAGCTACACTGTATATGCTTCGAGTAATGACTTTGATGTTTGAGCAGAAGAAGGGTGCGTTAGAAGATAAGAGGTCAGAATTTTGAATAGGCTAGAGAAATCGATCGCTCTGGCGCCTCGCTGCTTTTATATACACGCAAGACGACGACGACGCCGACGGATGACGGATGTCCGCCCGTATAGTCGCTACTCGCTAGGGTGCAATGGATGTACTCGAGACGCGCGCCGCGCGACAATACCGATAATCAGCCTGGTTCGAGTGGCTGCCACTCCTAACGCCTGCAACGACGTCTTTCCGTTGCTCATCCCTTTGCCCGTAACACTTTCTCCATTCTTCGCCGCTCGCTAATCTACTCGAACTCGATTTCAAGCTCGATTGGTAATTTTATTGAGATTCCAGCTGTCGAGGTAATTTTCCGTTGAAAGCTTCTTAATAGTAATTCATCGTTGAGCATTAACGGCGAGCAAAAAAAGTCGAGTTGTCGCGAACGATGAAGATCAATAAATACATTTATCAGACTTTTGACAACTAATTAATTTGATCGCAATCTGTTTATAACCGTGCGCAAGCTGCTGCGAGATTAATCGACGCGATTTCAAATGAAAAGTACACACTTGCAAGCGCACCGATACGTCAGCGCTGAAAGTATCGGCTATAATTACAACGTCAATTAAAATTTCAATCGGCCCCGGAGTAAATTACCGCGACCGTCAAATCTCGTTACCGTGTGCGTATGCGGTATCGTGAAAAATCGAACAATCGACGAGGATGCGGCAGCACATTCTGTGTGCGAGGTGGGTAACATCAACACCTGCCAAGCGCGAGAGCCATCCGTCAGTGCGACGGTATCTCGTGCGCTAGATCAGTGGAAAGTTGTATGTACGTGCCGGCAGCGGCAGCAGTGGCAAAAAGAAAGAGGCGACTTCCTTTTCTTTTTTCTCTTCTTTATTTTTTTTATATAATAACGCACCGTAGAAATTCAAGCTGCGCGTAACTTCTCTCTTTTTTGGTAAATTAATCCCTTCGATGCGCATCTAGATCCTATCGTCACTGCCGCGCATTTGCAATTAAAAAGTTAAGTGCCCCCTTTTCTTTTTTTTTGCTGGTGTTGATGCTGATTGTTGCCTCTGGCGACGTTCCAGATGTATCTAATAATATCGTGATTTCTTCATAAAGATCAGATCTTTTTTCACTCGATTGTGTGTCATCTGCTTCGTTTTTCATTTTCGTTGCAGTGTAGATCGCAAAGAATGTAATCGGTGCTTCCGTGGTGAGGCTCGCTCGTGACGGTTCCGAGTGCTGAAAAAAGTATAATCTTATTTAAATAGCTTTCAGATTATTTTGGGTCACTGAGACGCGATTGCGCTAGATCAAGATATTGTGAACCTAATTGAAACCGTAAATCGTTGAAATATATCTTTTAAACTATCCTTCACGCGTAAAAAAGTCTTCATGTGTAGTTTTCTAGAAAAATGAGAAACAAAACTTCGTACGAAGCAATAATGATTAACCTAGATCACTCGGTTCGCAAAATAATATCATTAACTTCATAAAAATTGCTGGCATTCCTCGTCGACCAAAACTACAGATAAAATTGTCAAATAAAGCAATGAGACAACGGGGGAAAAAAAGAATTTAAATTTGAACTGTTTGCCACCGAAAGTCGTTCCGCAAGACTCATCAGCCGACAATTACAATTACGCTGCGACAATTACTCGCAAACGAAAAATACAAGCAGTGGATTTTACGATTTCCGGCGACTACGAGCAGCAGTTTAATGAAGGAGGAAAAGAAAACGATATAACGCTGCAAACCAGTTAGATGTATATCGCACCTCGCTATCTATACGAGCGGGCGATATACATTCGTCGGCAGCATAGCGCCAAGCTGGCTGTCGATTCCGAGAGCGACCAAAATCTGTATGACCTGCCGTTCAATGATTCTAAGAATATTTTCGGCTTTCTGGTTTTATCTCTCGATTCTTGCTATTTTATTACGATCGACGTGGCACATCAGACATAATTTGGCCAATGAATAACGGGAGCTACAGCTTCAAAAGCTGTATATAGCCACGAATGAAAGACGGAATAAAAGATGAAGTGATATTCCTACTTAATGAGGATATTTCAACATTTTTCAGTAAGTGTTGTGCTGCTTGATTGATTTG